CGAGATAAATATTTATTTTATTGACGCGCACAGAGATTTGCAACGAGAATTTTCCACCTGACTACGATACTCTCGATGCTGCTACATTTGCATTTGCGACGAGCGCTAAAGATTTTATGGTGAAATACCGATTTTCTATAGAGAAACCAAATTTGTTTCCTGCACAGATAAATCTCCATTTAATTTGTAAAATACACATATCCTACACGTTTTCTAGAATATATATTTTCATTTATTCTTGCTCAGATTCGCATTGTTTGATATTTAAAATGTTTGTTTCTCAATTCTCTACATTCTATTACATATCGCAGAAAAATTATATTAAAGAAACAAGAATAAAATAATTTAATATATTTGCGCGTTCTTTCACATAAAAATGTGTAATAAGGTTAAAACAAAAATTTAATTAATTTCGAGATTATTTGTTTAGCGTAAGCCATTTAATAATAAATGCTTCCATTTCACACACAACACTTTTAACATAATTACTGAGAATTTTCATATTATTATCTATATAATTACGAGTCTTGCTCAATGATATATCTAAATGAAAAGTTAGAGAGCTATACTAGTTCTGATGTTTATAAAGTAACATGTGTGTGTATGATTATTAATTATTACAGTGCAATACAATATTTAATAAGGATAAGATATATAAGTTTTTTCACTCACACAGTTAATAAATATTTAAGTATTCGCATTTAAGTATTCGCAAACCTAACCTAACGAAGGTTTCTTTACCCCACCATACATCGCTAGAAAAAAACAGATTGCACAACAACTTTCTATTTTTTGATACGTTCTAACTACAAGAAATTTTTTAAATTTAACATTTTCTTTTTATGAACAAATAAGAGTTTTAATACTTAACATCATGAACGTTTCTTTTTAACCCGACCTCCTCTTCTGTCGCACGAAATCGCACAAGGTCCCGTCCCGGGTAATAAGGATACAGTTCCTTTACCAGAAAAGGGACCGCCGAGCGAACGGCCTTTCGATAGAGTAAGAGCGACCCTTGCGATCGTTGACCTATCTGGGGCCCTGGTCTGTTCGTTCGATTCTAGGAGACGCATCGTCTAGCGTTTGTCTAGAGGTAAGTAGGTTACGCCCTCCCGCTGACTCTTCCTTTATTTGAGTCTGGACGTAACATTAAAAAGAGAAACATTGAACAATTTATATGTATATAAAAATAATTATAAATTTTTAACAATTACACTTAAATTTAACAATTAATGTGATAAAAATTTTATTATCTGAACAGTTTCATAATCAGTTCAGTTACTTCTCGAGTTCATGCTTTTGCCGACTTTTGATAAGTATAAATAGTATTCAAAAACAAGAGAGAGTATCTAATAGAGATGATGGAGCTTGCATCTCTTCTTATTGCGACAATATAATCAGCCCAGATAGCACATAACGCTAAAAGAAAACGAAAAGATGTTTTTCCTAAGATATTATTTCGACAAAGTGAAAAGATGTATGTAAGACATTTTTTCGTCTTGCCGAAAAAGACAACATAAAACGGATATGCAACGAAGATGTGTACGTAGTTATGTATACTAGAGACCGTGATGGAGACATTTCCTATTTTAATTTTTAAAACTTTATTTTCATCTTTATTTCAAATGTTTCATTGTGTATAAAACATTTGTGCTATGCTTGCAGTGGACGATGGAGATTCTGGACTTCTTCATTCTCCAAAATATTATAACTAAATTAAAAACACTTATACACATTACCGAAATCCACATATAATTTATTTTGAATATAATTTTTTTCTATCTTACATAGAAATACGTTGCTGAAATTTTATAATTTACACATTTTTATAATTTGTAGATTACTAAAATTAATTAATAATTGTAAATTAATAAAATTAAAAACTAAATTAAAAAGATCATCGAATTAATTGATGATATAACGCAGTAATTGATTGATTGATGTCTCGTATTTTTAGAGGCATTCTAGGCATTTTTGAATCGAATATTTAAGCATTTGCAGGTGAAAAATCGAAATCAATTTATTAACGTACGCAATCTTCATTTATAGAAAATTTGATGTTTTAGATTGATCTTTTCGGAATATTTCATATCTTATATCATAGATAACAGTTTATTTGATCAATCTCTTAATCATATTTTCGATTATGTATGAAATTCAGCGTTATTTGAACGATCTTCGACCATCAATTGCGAATGTATTTTAAATGATTTTTTTTTTTCTTAATGCAATAGATCCGGGAAACAGCGATCTAATTTATAAATCATTTCGTAATGTCCATTATCAAGAGACACGGTAGTGTCTCGCGCCAAGTCACTCAAAGCAAAGACCGCGCGTAACAAGAGCGAGGCACCCCGGGTATCTATACGCGAGTCGGATAGTTGAGAGTACCTTAGATTACCAGATCTGAAATGTATATCTATCATGAAAGTAAGAAATGCACATACTATCCGATTCAATAATAGTTTCTCAATGAAAAGTTTATCAAAATTTATCCGAATTTATCATTCGGTATTTGCATCAAAATGAATATGTACATTTATGAAATTGAAATTGAAACTATTGAAATTGAAACTATTACAACTATCCGACATTTTATGATAAAAGATGTAAAAATAAAGGCTCTCTCATTGAATTGAATTCATTGAAAACATTGCATGGAATTTTTAATGGTAATTTATCATATCTAATCATGAAATTATATTTTGTGTTCTCTGTCATCTTTTTCTGACTAGTGATATATGTATATCTATCATGAAAGTAAGAAATGCACATACTATCCGATTCAATAATAGTTTCTCAATGAAAAGTTTATCAAAATTTAAAATATACTATAAAACTCATTTCTGATTTCGTTATAATTCTCTACGACTATGACTTACAATTCATCGTAAAGGTTTACTATACCCATTGTATCGGATTTAATACAGAGAAATTGTAGTTGAACTAAATGTTTAAAGAAATTTAATTTTTTTAATAGCATCAAAAGAAGAAGTAGAAGAGAAAGCGAAAGAGTAGAATTTTCACCTCTTACTTTATGTGATACTGCAACAGAGTTTGAGACAGATTTAGAAATTGAACGATCACACGTAAGTTTTCTTCTTCTATAGTATTTTTATAATAATGTATTATATGTAATATTTGTTTACTGTAATTCCATATTTGTGAGGTTACCATATTAGCATCTATACTCATCTGAACTGTCTTTTCTCATAGAAAAATCATGATTTTTTTCTAACCAGATAATATGTATTATAAAATATATATATATATATTTTTACTGTAAATTTTTCCAAAAACTTTATTCATTTTTCAAATATTTTTTTAAATGTTATTCAATACTGTTATTATATTGTTATGCTGTTATTGATCCATTTGATTATATAAATTAACTAATATAGCATTATATTTTGTATCAAGTGATCATACGAATATAACACGATGGTCACACGATTTATCCCTAAGTTGTTAATTTTGAAAAATTAAACTGATAAAAAAATATGATATAAGTGATATAGATAAGAAAAACATTGCTGTAATAAGAATTAGTGACAAATGATAAATACATGTAAATAATATATGTAAATACATTAATTTTGCTTTAGAGCTTTAAAAGTGATGCAAACCTGAAACAAAGAGTAGAAGAGAAAATTTTAAAAATAAAAAGGAATCAAAATGGAAATGAAGAAACCGATAACATATCAGATAAAAATGGAGAATATAGAAAAGATAAAAAAAGAAGTGCTCATAACTCACAAAAAAATGAAAAAAGGAATATTACTGAAAAAACTGATAAAAAAAAGTGAGTAATAATCAAGAATACAAATATGAATTATACACGCACACGCATGCGCGCGCACACATACATAAAGGGCTAACTCTAAAACACCACATTGGTATATTACATTCACGCTTATTTTATTGAAATTTTTGATGAAGGAGATTTCTATTCGGGCTTTTACCAAAATAAATGTCTTTTTTTAAATGTCAATCGTAATGATAATAACAGACGCGTTCTTGACATTCTGGCATTTAAATTTAAAAAAAAGTTTAAAAATATCTATTTTCTGAAGAGTTATTAATAGTTGAAAGTAGCTGGATGCAGTAAACCCAGTGTGATGAAATCGGAACTTGCAAGAAGTGTGGTGTTCTAGGCGGGTTAGTTTGCATCGTGTACACAATTCTTTAATTCATTGATGTAATGCGTTTATTCAAGCTCAAGGAACATATCTTGAGCATTTATTTTGAAACTGAACTTAAAATTAATAATATATCGTGTTCTTATATTTTATATATATTTTTTTTAATTTTTGAAATATTACTCATATCAAGCATGCGATGTTTTACCACACAGTAAAATTTAAAAATTCCTGTAACTGCAGAAACATTGAAAATACGATCTATGTTCATATGACATTTTTTAATTAGAATGACCTAAACAATTTGTGAAAATTTTTTACACTCGTTCTGAATCACCCTGTATACAGAATTTATCAATTTTAGTTATAAGTATATTTATTAGTGATTATAATTAGAATTATCGAAATAAAGTTATTTAGAAAAATAAATATAAAAATATTAGGTTATCAATCTTCAACTTGTCTCTTTTCTTTCTTTAAGAATCCAGTGTTGGCTAATAAAGTTAGTAAGAGCAAAGAAGATATTATTATAAAAAAAATGCACCTTTATTTGCTAAAACTGAAATAAAAGGACATCGAAACAACAATGATTGTTTGACTGATTCAAAAGGAATTACTTATTCTACGAGAGAAAACAATGAATCCATAGTAAGTGAAGCTTATTTATTACTTATTCCAGTAAGCAAGAAAATAATTAATATAATATTATTACAATAATATAATATTTTGCAATAGTATAATATTTTTAAATGTGCAGTTTTAATATTATATATAACATTATATATAATATTATATATAACATTAAAATGAGAGTAGTATGACATTGTAAATAATAATGGACTAACGTTTTCCTTATATGTATTTTTCTTATGGTTTATTATAATATTTTCCAATACTAGTAAACAATATTATAACCTTAACAAAATTGATTAAAATTTTAAAAATTGATAATTCAAAGAAAGGTATGTAGCAATGCGGTTTTTATACACAATGATCGTGTTTTCTACATTTTGTAAAGTATTTTTTATATTAAAAATAAAAATAAATTAGAATTGTTTAAATGATAAGAAAAAGTGAGGATATTGAATGTAATGCATTGAAAATGAAAAGAAAAGTAGTTCATAAATTTTAAGACTGATTTTTTCTATCAATACTGATAGAATCATTTATTTGTAAATTCTAATTCTACTTAGTAGTAATCCTTAAAAGTTTACTCGTAAAATTACATTAGGCTACATTTGACTGTTGTCGAGCAGTATCATGTAGAAATGTATTCTTTCCCATTATAATGGATATTTTCTTGCTGCGTGACAACACTCCTTTCCATACAGCGATTATAAAACAGTTTTTAAATCAAAAAGACATCTGCATTCTTTACTACCTATCCAAGAGTGCAGATGCCTTTCTGCATTAAAAATTGCCTTACAATAGTCTAAAACTGTTTTACAAGTAAACTTGTAAGTAATCATAGTTTCCTTACAAGTTTACTAATAATAGATGGTTCTATCTGTATTGACGAAATAAATCAGTCTTAAAGTTTATGGATTGCATCGTATATGACACAAAATATAGAATGTTAATTTGCTTAGTAGAATATAAAATTTATACATAATCTCAATTTTCGTAAAAATAACAATAAAAATAAAATAATTATTTGAATTCTAGGATTTTTTAGATCAAAGGCAAGAAAAATTTTATGGAAGTGATAAAGAAAAAAAGGTATTCTTATTTCATTGTAATAAAAAATAATTAGATAAATAAATTTAATAAATAGGAATAGGAATGATACAAAAGAAATCATAACATTGGCAGTGTTTATAAATATCAAGTAGTATAGTAATGCTTTTCGAAAGTAAAGATAATGTATAGTGAAATCCGTTGAATCGAATCAAGAACAAAAGTGTATTCAACAAATATTTAGTCATTTTTCTCGAAAATAAAGCCTCGTATGAAAAAATTTTATTCTATCTTTTCGATTCAGTTTTCGAAGTAAAATCGTTATCTGTCCGCTTGTATATGTATTATCAATTACATAACACCCTGTGTGTGTATGTGTTATATGTATATGTATATGTATGTATGTTAAATTATAGGTAGCAAAACTTCTAAAAGAAAATGAAGATTTGCGTTCTCAAAATAAGAAATTCAAGACGCAAATAAAAGATAAAGAAACAATAGTTAACGATTTGATGGCGTTAAATATGGATCTCCAAAAACAAGTGATTTCAGAATATACAGAAATATCTAAGATAAACAAAGAAATTCAGACAAAAGTTCTGAGTAATTTTGATGAATTGTTACGTGAGTGTTTTTTTCCTTTTGTTCATTTTTACGAATAATTTTAATTTTTTAAATAATTATTTTTGTTATAGACGTTGTATCAGAATATTTTTAAAAAAATCCGACTGTTCCACAAGAACAAATTGGCTTGCCTCCAGTTGGATATGAAAATAAAGCACGAAATGAGGTAATAATTAAGAATCCCAGATTATTTGTTAATTTAAATTATGCTACAAATGTTATATTGCTAGGTACATCTTGGTTTTGATGTCTACATACCCAAATCTTCATATGATAGTGTTCTTGTGATAAATCGATACCACAATTTATAAAAAACCTGGCTGTTGCTGTTTTTGGAATAAAAATGCTCAAAGAAAGTACTGTAACATGTACTGTGTCAAACAGAAAGAAAAAAATCAAAAAATGTAGATCCTAGACCTCCATTAGATCCAACAAAATTAAAAGCCATCAGAGGTAATATTTTATTTTAAACATCAAATATTTTTTTCCATCAATATTCTTTGTTCCTTCATATATTTTTTTTCTCATTCTAGCTACAGTCAAACATTATTTGATAGCTCAATACGATCAAGATGAAATTTCAATCGATTTTGAATTACAACAACTTGGATCGCATATTGCACATAAAATATGTGAACTTAATAGGAATCCAAAATCTACGGGCTTAAGAATTAAAACTACGTCACTATGCACTACAGAAATACTCAATGAAAATAACATTTTTGCAGAAGTACAATCTGATACAAATATTTCTGATAATAGTGAAACTTTACATGATGTTTCACACGAAAGTAACGCTGAAAAAGAAAATGAAGAGAAAAATAATGAAGAAAAAGGAGATGAAGAAAATGATGAAAAGGAGAGTAATGACACTAATCACGATACTGATGAATCTGATACTAACTAGTGATAGCAAGTAAAAAACGTCAATTTATAATCATAATTTTAAAAATCGAATTCTGTTTATAGTTTCTTTATATCTCAACGGCTTATTTTCTAGACGCCCCATATATAAAAAAGAGATTAAAATTTTTTATTTTATAGATTTTATTAATTTTTTAAAATATGGAATTATTCTTTTCTTATGGCAATTATTCCAAAGATTTGTGATACTAGAAATTAGAGTTGAAAATTCGAGATTTGTTTGATTATCCATGATTTTGTTTATTTGATAACTGAAGTTTGGATTCGCGGATTATTTGCGGATAATCCGAAACTTAATATCTGAATAGTATGTCCGAATCTATTTGATATAACTTTAACTTTTTTATGTCTTTAATTTTAACCAATTATTATATTTTGAAATTAGTATTCTTTTTAATTTCTTGTAATGGACAGTTTGAATATAAATTTATGAATTTAGATAACTATTAGAGATAACAAGTAGAAGTAACAAACATTTATTTTTTATTTAGATTGAATTACATATATTAAAATATATGAATTATAAGAGTATAGTATTATATGCAAAGGAACATATAATATTATACTCTTATAATTCATACATTTTAATATATGTAATTTAATCTAAATAAAAAATAAATGTTTGTTACTTCTACTTGTTATCTCTAATAGTTATCTAAATTTATAAATTTATATAGTATATTAAATCTATATATGAAATAAGGAAAATTATATAGAGAAAATTTGTGTTGCTTTTGTATAAAAATTTATTCAGGTATAAAAATTTTAAATTAAAAGATGTACATGAGTATAGAAATGTATATGTCTTATATTTTGAATAAAAAAAATATTTATTTTATATCGTTCTTTGAACTTTTTTAATTAAAAAACAAGTAAAAATTTTATATACATACATATATACTATAGAATAGTATAAAAAATTGAAAAATAGAATATTATAGGATTCAATTCATGTTGTATTGGATTGTATTGAAACATATAGATTAAATGCCAGAAATTTTAATATTGTTTCACATATATAAATATTAATCTTATAGGGCAGCAAAGAAAGTTGAAGAATAGAATATTATAAGATTCAATTCATGTTATATATTGGATTGTATTGAAACAGATAAACTGAATATAACAAATTTTAATATTGTTTCATATATATAAATATTCATTAAACTTATAGAATAGCAGAGGGAGTTGATGAATAGGATGTGATAGGATTCAATTCAGATAGAGTTTGTATGAATTGGATTGTGTCACATTGGAATATATAAATGATTGTGCTTCATAAATTCTCATTGAATAACATGTGTAAATGCTGATTATTTGGATAGGATAACATGAAAATTTGAACAATGTTATAGAATATAATATAATGTTTGTATGTAATAGTATTGGAATCATTAAACTGCTATTAATAAATTTTCATATAGATTCACATTCACGAATATTTATTTTTTTAAATTGAAACGAATATTTATTTATAAAAGATTAATATTGGTTACTATAGGAAAAACATAATAAGATTTATCAGAGATATATGTATAGAATAATATAGCTTTGCATAGATCATGCATAATAAATTTTCTTATTGGTTACTCGTGAATTAAATATTTTATTAGTAAAAGGAAAGTCTAGTGATTTAACTATAACGCTACCACATCGTAATGTTACTGCTCGCATCGCATCCATACTTGCTTTTGACAGGTATAGGTTAAGTGTGTAAAATTTCAGAATGTAGTGTTCGTACGCTTTCATTTATAAAAAAGTGAATATTTTTGGATAGTTGGATCAGATATATCTCATTTATATTAGAAAATTAGAAAAAAATAAAACATCACAAAAGTAATTTATGCTACGTGTAAAAACAGAACAAAACATCGCAATACATATGTTTATAAGAAATGTGTGTATTCTATAATGTTTATTATAAGATATGTATGTATATTCTATAGATTCAACTATCCAAAAATATCAGGAAGATTTTGCATACTTTTTTATAAATGGAAGAGTGCTACGCTATATAATGTTGCACTCTAGAAAATTTAACGTTAAATACTTGTCAAAAACCAGTATGAATAACTGCGAACAGTATTATAGGCATACGCATATAAGAATCTAGTATATTTGAGTGCATTTATTAAAGAAATGTCATCATATAGTTATTCGTCATGCATCATATGTAACTACAGATAAGTATAAATGATATTGGTAAAACACAATCTGTAAGGTTAATGCATGTCCTATGAATAATTTATAAATATACATTTATTTTTCAGTGGAAGTAGAAGAATTTTTCAATTCCTTATTTCGATGCTAATGCATCGCTTAAAATAGATGAAGCATGTTTCAGTATCGTTAATATATAATGTTGCACTCTGGAGAATTTATCTGTCCAATGGATAACTGCGATCAGTAATACAGAAGGATAACTGCAAGTAGTAATATAATATAGACAACACATGCAAGAATCCAATATTATGTTATACATGTGTTGGAGGAAACTGTTTTGCGACATAATCATACATACAAAGTTCTCCATAACGTATGAAATCCATGAAAATTATTCAACAGGGACTACTGCAGAGTGAGTTTATATATATATATTATTTTATTTTAACTTGAAAATCTCTATTTGTAATAGCTATTTCAACTATAACAATTATATGTGCGTTCAGATTTAAAATATCAAGAATTATTTGTTTCTTTTCTTTTAAATAATTAAATATTCTTTATCAACATTTAACTTGAACATCTCTATTCACAATAGCTATTTCAACTATTTGTAATATATATATTTATAATAATTAATACTTGTTATTACAGGATAAAATAATCTACAAAAAGTGACAGCAAAAAGAAGAAAGATTCACTAAAACGAAATAAAGGCTATAAAAAGTCAAAAACAAGGAAAGACAAAGAGATTTACATAAAAAAGTTGGTGGTAGAAAAGGAAGATAAATGGAGGTATTTGTAATGTCTAATGATACAATACTAAACTAATATATAAAGTCAAAATTATGAATTTAATTACTTAAAGGAGATCTTATACACATTGTATATTTATAACGAATAAAAAAGCACATTTTATTTAAAAATATTCTATATGTTTATGATAAGGTAGATACACACACAATTCCTTTTGATGGTAACCATAGCTGTAGAAATAAACAATATAGTTAAAAAATTATAAAATGAATAAAAAAAAAGTAATATGATAAAAAATTTATGATTCAAATAATAATCTCGTTTAGAATTTAATTTTTGCATGCATATTGAGAGCAAATACTTACATACAAACTGTTGTGAATTTAGAAATTCGCTCTTGTTTCGATGACTGCAATGACGAACTTGAAATCCAATATTTTCAAGTATTTCTTTTAGCTCTTCGTGAGGTCGGGTAGAATAATGAAATGATCCAACATATTTCTGTTTTTTCTGTACAAATTAAATTTAATTAAAAATTTATAGATGAAATATATCAAAGTGACATTTGTAATGCAAATAATAAATGTGCGATACATACATATAAGATATAGAATTTAAATGAAACAATAAAGGTTCTTACGAAAGAAATTGATCTCTTATGGTAGCCATGTACACGTATACATTCGACGGATTTTTGAAATTAATAAAAACGAAGTTCTTTCTTATACCGCATCTTTAATATAATAATATATTTACCCCCATATAGGCAGAATACCGCGTATCTTCCGCTATAGCTTCCAATGATTCAAATACAGTTGCTTGATGCGCTAAGCTTAATATAAGCATAGTTTTACCAGGTCGAAGCATACGGTACATATTTCGAAACGTCTGGCTATTAAATAACAATGCCAAATATTAATTATAATTTTGGAAATATACATCTATTAGGGTATTCTTTCAAAATATATTATGTAAAAGTACATTGTTAAAGACATATATAAAAGTTATTTCTACGAAAAAAAATTAATCTACGTTTATTTAATAATTTTTCTTACTGAACGTCACTGCACCACTGCAAAGTATAAAAAGAAAAAATGTGATCAAATTCTGAGATGTATTTCTCGGGCAATTTTTTAGTTTGAATATCCAGCACTTCAAACTTGAGTCGTTCTTTATCACCGTATGTTTTGTTGGCGTATTCAACTACTTTTTCCATAATATCTGTACCTTTACAATATATAATTATTGCATTAACTAATGATAATTTACATCACACAGTGTATGTGCGCGTGTCTGCGCGAGCTATTATATTCTTATATTTTATTATTTTTACTTACCAATCATTGTTACATTTGGATCAAGGAACGGAAGAAGAATATCCTTTGTTATATTCCCGGGTCCACAACCGACATCCATACATTTTCCAGATATATGTTTTAGATCTTTGTCGAACTCATTGAGTAGCAGTGATATACTGTCTTTGTTATCAAATAATACGTACGTTGGTTCCACCATTGTTTCACGATGGCACTCAAATAACGAGGATATTTAGTTAGCAGAGGATATTAACCGTTTCCCTTATAATATCGGGTGAATATGATGCGCAATGTCTTTACGACTGTCTCAGGTCACGTCTATCTACGCTCTACGCTGGAGTCTGCTTGTGCCCTCATATCTATAGTATACCTAG